GGAGTTTCGCCTTGTCACCCAGGCTGGAATGCAATGGCGCGGTCTCAGCTCACTGCAACCTCCATCCGCCTCCCAGATTCAAATGATTCTCCTGCCTCAGTCTCCCGAGTAGCTGGGATTACAGGTGCCCGCCACAACACCCAGCTAATTTTTGTATTTTTAGTAGCGACGAGGTTTCACCATATTAGCCGGGCTGATATCGAACTCCTGACCTTGTGATCCGTCCACTTTGGCCTCCCAAAGTGCTGGGATTACAGGCATGAGCCACTGTCCCCAGTAATGTGTATGATAACTTTATAAGAAATGTCCAAATAGTTCTCTAAAGTGGTTATATAGTTCTTTTTTTTTTTTTTAGTTGAGATCTCATTCTGTTGCCTGGAGTGTAGTGGCACTATCATGGCTCACTGCAGCCTTGAACTCCTGGGTTCAAATGATTCTCCCACCTCAGTCTCCTGAGTAGCTGGCACTACAGGTGCACACTACCATGTCCATCTAATTCTTCCTATTTTGTATAGAGATGGGGGTCTCACTATGTTGCCCAGACTAGTCTCTAACTCCTGGCCTCAAGAGATCCTCCTGCCTCAGCTTCCAAAGCACTGAGATGATGGCATGAGCCCCTGCACTCCACCTCTCCTATTCTTTATAGCACTGAGGATAAAAACTGAAAAACCTGACAATCAGAGAAACCATCAGAGGTGACAAGCCAAGGGTTGAGCGGGCCACATTTGGCCCTCATGGATGCATAATCATGAACCTTGGCAGAACTTCTCTAGAACAATCAGAAGTTCTGACCCCATTGGGCCTGTCTTCCCCCAGGTGGAGCTGGGTTGTGGCTGCCCACTTCAGCTAGAACACATGCTCTCGGGTCAGCCACAGCTCCACCTGCCCGGCTTCACTCACTGCCACGCCTCTTCTGTAGACACCCTGCACATGGCTAAAGTTCCCCAGACATTCCCGAGAAGTCAGGACTGGACCCCAGGTTGGCGAAGCAGCGCACCCTCAGTGGCACCCCACTGCCCTTCCTGGTGCTGTGGCCCCTGCTGCAGATCGCAGATCTGTGGCCTTCTGTCTGGCCCTGTTCTCCAATCCCAGCTGTTCTTTCTGTAAATCTGTCCCCCAGGGCAGGTCCCTCCCCCAAAGGCCCCATTCATACTGGTGTTGGTCAGTCACCCAGTGTTTGCTCACCCAGGCCACCCTTTATCCGGCCAAGCCACTCTCCACTGCTCCTGTACGACTCTAAGGCCAAGTGGCCTGGGCTGAAATCCTGCTGTGTTACTTACAAGCGGGGTCACCTTGGGCCAGTGACTCACCTCCTCTACCTCTGTTTGCTCATCAGTAAGACAGAGATAACAGGACCCATCTTCGAGGGTTGTTAGAAAGCCCAAGTGAGTAAAGGCATGTCGCGCACTTAGAACAGAGCCTGGCACGTGTTCACCACTGCTATTATTTCTAGCTACTCAGTGCTAGGACAGGGGCCTCAGCTAAGGACCTCCAGAGCCTGGCAGGCCCAGTGAAGGAGTGAGAGGGGGTGGCCACGACTCCTCCCCAGCTGTCCTGTGGCCATGGGGGCCTAGAGAGGCCAGATCTTCAGGTTGTTCTAGAAAAGTGAGCATTCTAGAATTATGTTTCAAGCCTCTTGGTTTGCAAATACTAGTACCTATTTTTAAAATGTTTTGGTATTTGGCCAGGCACAGTGGTTGACCCCTGTAATCCCAGCACTTTGGGAGGCCAAGGTGGGAGGATCACTTAAACCCAGGAGTTGGAAACCAACCTAGGCAACATAGCAAGATTCTGTCTCTACCAAAAAAAAAAAAAAAAAGAAAAAATTAGCTGGGCGTGGTAGTGCATACCTGTAGTCCCAGCTACTCAGGAGGCTGAGGTGGGAGGATCACTTGAGCCCAGGAGTTTGAGCCTGCGGCAAGCTGTGATCGCACCACTGCACTCCAGCCTGGGTGACAGAGTGAGATCCGGTCTCAGAAAAAAAAAAAAAAGAAAGTTTTGGATGCTTTGAGCATCCAACAGAAACCTTTGCTGTGCCCCGCTGGCTTTCCTGATGTCCTGGGCCTGATGCGGGCTCCTGGCCATGGCTCAGTCACTCCTGACAGTTTTTTAGCACCTCAGACACTCCTTCTTCTCTCTCTCTCTCTTTTTTTTTGTTTGTTTTGAGATGGAGTTTCACTCTTATTGCCCAGGCTGGAGTGCAATGGTGCAATCTCAGCTCACCACAGCCTCTCCTCCCAGGTTCAAGTGATTCTCCTGTCTCAGCCTCCTGAGTAGCTGAGATCACAGGCATGTACCACCACACCTGGCTAATTTTGTATTTTTAGTAGAGACGGGGTTTCTCCATGCTTGTCAGGCTGGTCTTGAACTCCCGACCTAAGGCAGACACCTGTTCTTTGCCGTGCCTCCGTCTGGGGAGTGTATGGAAAGGGGCACAAGCAGTGGTTGCTGTTCCTGTTGCTGCCACTGCGGTGAGGGCTGTGACTGGACGTCCCTCCTGGCACTTTGCCTCTGTCCCCTCCATCCCCTGCCAGCATTTTTCCTCCCCCCCCTTCCTCCAGCTCGTCCCAAGCCTGCCTGTCCCCAGCATGGAGGCGGGACAGTGGAAGAGTGGGTGAGTGAAGCAGGATGGTGCCTTGGGCTCCAGCATCTCCCCAACCCCTCCATGCCATGGGTCCCCCCAGGTGAGGGCCCTGGTGGAGGACAGTGTGGGCAAAGCATGGGGAATGTCACCTTCCCCATCTGCTCAGAATTCAAGGGTCCTGGGCTGGGCCCGGTCTCTCTTCTGCCCCTGGGGAGATCATTCACGCTTCCTTTAATCCCTGCCACAGCTGAGGCTGGAGTTTGGAGTTTGACCTGCTTGGAGGCTCTCAGCAGCAGGCATATAGAAGGAAGGTCACTGCTGTCTCTGGAAGCTCTTGGCTGCAAAGGGAGAGGATCCTGGGTGTCTCCCTCCTTACAGCCATCGCCACCTTCTAGTGCCTTAGAAGCCACTGACAGCCCCCAGGGCAGGTGAGCCCTGCATCTGAAATAAGGTAAGACACCCCCTGCCCCCAAACAGGTAGCCACTCTCCAAACTGGGAAGTTGGTCTGGGGACAGGTGCTGGCAGAAGGACTCCAGCTGTCACCTGTGGGGCAGGGGAAGCTCAGCCCTCTCTGCAGAAAAAGCTTGTCATGCACCAGGACAATGGAGTGTGTTTGTGAGGTGGGCATGGTGGTGTGAAGCCAGCAGCTGGCAGCCAGCAGCACCGTACGTGGGTCCCAGCTCTTCCACTTAACCAAGGTCAGGGACATTGAGCCAAACATTTTGCCTCACCGAGTGGCAGGTTCCTTATCTGTCAAATGGGGATATGAACCTGAGGCTGACCCACCCCACAGGTGTGTTACCCAGAGATAATGAAGATAAATATATCCACATAAGCAAAAAAAAGCTAGAGGAATGTATTACTACAACTGCAGCTGCTATTAACTACAAGGCAAATACAAGTCTTCACTGGTACAGTGAAGACACATGCAGAGAGCTTTACATTTAGATCTCATCTAACTGACACAGAAACCCTGTAAGGTAGATACAGCCACCCCTAATTCACACACAGAGTCTAAGGGTCATTAAATAACTTGCTCAAGGTAATACAAATAGTGGGTGGCCAAGCTGAGACATGATTCCCTCCCTCCCTCCCTTCCTTCCTTCCTTCTTTTCTTCTTTCTTTCTTTCTTTCCTTCTTTCTTTTATTTCTTTTTTATTCCTTTCTTTCCCTTTCTTTCTCCTTCCTTCCTTCCCTCCCTCCCAACTCTCTTTTTCTTCTTTCTCTCTTTTCTTCCTTCGTTCCTTCTTTCTTTTATTTCTTTCTTTATTCCTTTCTTTCCCTTTCTCCTTCCTTCCTTCCCTCCCTCCCACCTCTCTCTCTTTCTTTCTCTTTCTTTCTTTCTTTCTCCTTTCTTTCCCTTTCTTTCTCCTTCCTTCCTTCCCTCCCTCCCAACTCTCTTTCTTTCTTTCTTTCTTTCTTTCTTTCTTTCTTTCTTTCTTTCTTTCTTTCTTTCTTTCTTTCTTTCCCTTTCTTTCTCCTTCCTTCTTTCCTTCCTTCCTTCCCCTCTCTCTCTTTCTCTCTTTTCTCTCTCTCTCTTTTCTCTTCTGTCTTCTGTTTCACAGGTCTTGCTGTGTTGCCCAGGCTGAAATGTAGTACTGCGACCATAGCTTACTGCATTCTTGCACTCCTGGGCTCCAGCGATCTTTCTGCCTTAGCCTCCCAAGCAGCTGGGACTACAGGCACACCACCATGCCCTGCTAACTTTTTAATTTTTATTTTTTGTACAAATGGGGTCTACCTGTGTTGCCTTGGTTGGTCTCAAACTCCTGAACTCAAGCTATTCTCCCGCCTCAGCCTTGCAAAGTGCTGGGATTACAGGCATCAAAACATCTCCACCAAACAAACCACTGCCCCACCAATCAGTGATTTTCAAATGGTGTTCTGCTGAATCATTCTGGGCAATGGTTGACAGAAGTGTCCTAGCCCATCGGGCACCCTGCAGGTAGGACTTGGGAAAATACCGTCCCTTTTTTGGGAGGTCACAGCGTGCAAAGGGTCTATAACAAAGGCTCTAAAAATCCCACATTTGTTTGTTGTACCAACATTGATTGCATGCCTGTTTGGGGGACACAATGAGAGTGACAGAGGCATCGACCCTTCTTTATGGGGCTTGCTATGTAGTGCAGACAAGGGGTAATGAGAGGATCACACACATCAGATGTTAGACTTGATTAGACTGTGATGAGAAGTTGTGTTTGCCATGAAAGCAAAAAGCTTGGGGACCCAATTTATATTGAGGCCAAGAGGGGGCTCCTTTGGGCACACACAGCAAGCTGACATCTAAAGGATGGGTAGGACCTTGTCCAGCAAAGAGTGCAGGGAAGAGCATCCCAGGCAGAGGGAACAGAATGGCAGAGACCCTGAGGCCAGAAGTCGTGTTCTAGGAATAAAATGAATGCTAGAATGTGATGGGGTTGGAAGCACAACAAAGCACCTCAGAAGCATGGAGATGTTTTGAGCAGGACAATGATCTGATCTGGCTCATATTTAAAGATTTCTCTGACTTCCATGTGAGGGGCGGATTAAAAGGAAGCAAGGCCGGGTGCAGTGACTCATGCCTGTAATCCCAGCTTTGGGAGGCCAATTTAGGAGGATGGCTTTTTTTTTTTTTTGAGATTGAGTCTCGCTCTGACACCCCAGGCTGGAGTGCAGTGGTACAATCTTGGCTCACTTCAAGCTCCGCCTCCCAGGTTCACGTCATTCTCCTGCCTCAGCCTCCCAAGTAGCTGGGATTACAGGCGCCCGCCACCACGCCCGGCCAATTTTTTGTATTTTTAGTAGAGACGGGGTTTCACTGCATTAGCCAAGATGGTCTCGATCTCCTGACCTCATGATCCACCTACCTCGGCCTCCCAAAGTGCTGGGATTACAGGTGTGAGCCACCGCGCCCGGCCAGAAGGATTGCTTGAGGCCAGGAGTTTGAGACCAGCCTGGGCAATGTAGCAAGACCCCGTCTCTACAAAAAATGACAAAATAAAAAGTTAGCTGGAGGCCAGGCATGGTGGCTCATGCCTGTAATCCCAGCACTGTGTAGGGATCACTTGAGCCCATGGGGTTGAGGCTGCAGGAGCTGTGTTTGTGTCACTGCCCTTCAGCCCAGGCAACAGAGTGAGATCCTATCTCAAAAAAAAAAAAAAAAAAAAAAAAATTAGCTAGGCATGGTGGCATGCACCTGTGGTCCCAACTACTTGAGGGACTAAGGTGGGAGGATCCCTTAAGCATAGATGTTCGAGAATTTGAGGCCACAGTGAGCTATGATGGCACCATTGCACTGCAGCCTGGACAAGGGAACAAGACCCTGTCTCTAGAAGTTAAGTAAATTAAAACAAAATAAAATAATACAATAAAAAGGAAGCAAGAATGGATATTGGGGAGGCAAGACTGCAGGGTCTTTTTCTAACCTAGACAGAAGTGATGGTGGCTCAGACAAGGGTGATAGCTCTAAATATGAGGGAAAATGTATGGATTTGTTATGTTCTGGAAGTAGGAGAGAATGGAATTGGGAGTGAATAGATTCTGGGAGGTGAGAAAGAGATGCTATGAATTCTTCGATGAGACATTTGCATACCAGGCACTCTTGGTGCTTAGATGTAGTGCCTGGCATACAGAGGCGCTCACAGACCACTTGATAAGTGAACAAATGAATTAATGCCTTATGGATGACTCAGCTTTCTGGCTGGAGTGGCAGAGTGGATGCAGCTGCCGTTTAGTGAGATGGGGACGACTGGGAGAAGCACGTGCTTGGGCTGGAGAACTCGTCTCTAACTCACACGTGTGAACTTTCAGATGTCTATTAAGTATCCATGAGAAGCTGGTCACAGTGGCTCACACCTGTAATCCTAACACTTTGGGAGGCCGAGACAGGCGGATCACCTGCGGTCAGCAGTTCGAGACCAGCCTGGGCAACACGGTGAAACGCCATCCCTACAAAAAACACAAAACTTAGCTGGGTGTGGCGACACACACCTGTAATCCCAGCTATTCAGGAGGCTGAGGCAGGAGAATCACTTGAACCCAGGAGGCGGAGGTTCCAGTGAGCAGAGATCACGCCACTGCACTCCAGCCTGGATGACAGAGAAAGACTGCCTTGGAAAAAAAAAGTCTCCATGAAAGACACCGCGTTGGCATTTTGATGGACAGGTCTGGGCTCAGAAGCTGCTCTGTGATGTCTATTCTCTCTAGAATATGAGACAGGGTCATCCCTGAAAGGCAGGTGGAGGAGAACACTGTGCCGAGTCCCCTGCACTCACTGGGCGTATGCCCTGTTACCCTGCTGTGGACCATTCAGGGAATGCTGCCCTGCCCTGCCGTGCCTAGAATTTCTTTCCAGATACCTGAAGCTGTGGCTCTCCCTAAGGGACTAGGGGTGATCCTGGCCTCTGCTTCAGCCTCAAATCCTGGGATGTCTTTTTAAAATTTTTAGTTTTATTATTATTATTCTTATTTGAGACAGGGTCTGGAGTGCAATGGTGCAATCATAGCTCACTACAGCCTCAACTTCTTGGGCGTAAGCAATCCTCCTGCCTCAGCCTCCCAAATAGCCAGGCCCACAGACACACAGCACCATGCCAACTTAATTTTTTAAAATTTTTTGTAGAGGAAAAAAAAGGGTCTTATTACATTGCCCAGGCTGGTCTCGAACTCTGAGCTCAAGCAATCTTCCCCCCGAAAATGCTGGGATTATAGGCATGAGCCATTGAGCCCAGCCAGGATCTGTCTGTTTGGCCTTTCTCTAGAGACCTCTCTGTTTCTATGAACCCCATGGCATCAACTGGTGGAGGAGGCCAGGGGTGGTCATTTAGCTCCTTCTTCTGGCAGTTCTAGTCCCAGACAGCCTCTCTCTGCCTTCCAGGAATGACTCCCTCTTGTAGGGCGGCCTCCACCAGCCTCCCTAGATCCAGGCCAGGCCAGGGCACAGCTTGTTGCAGTGCTGCGGGCAGTCAGCGCCACTGCAGCCCAGGAGTGGTAGGAAAGGGTGCGAGTGGCTTCCAGTCTGGGAGGTGCGACCCGTGCCAGTCCTTATCACATCTGGAATTTTCCCCACCAAGGACCACGTGTCTCAGGGTAGTTAGGAGCTCTAGAGTTAAACCTGGGTTGGAGCCCTGGTTCAGTCATTACTAGCAGTGTGGCCTTAGACCTGGCCTCAGCTTTGTTTTCCTCACCTGTGCAATGGAGTTAATCAGAGTCCTGCCTGTAGGGAGGTTGTGACTTGAAAACGTGATTGATGCACATAAGTGGCCAAGGTTTGCCTGACCACAAAGTTTATGCATTTTTTTTTTCCTTTAAGATGGAGTCTCGCACTGTCATTCGGGCTGGAGTGCAGTGGTACAATTTCAGCTCACTGCAACCTCCACCTCCCAGGTTCAAGCGATACTTCTGCCTCAGCCTCCCAAGTAGCTGGGATTACAGGTGCACACCACCATGCCCAGCTAATTTTTGTATTTTTA